GGATGGAGTGGTCAATATGTCCTCTTACAAGGAACCCATCTTAGAATACAAGACGGTGACTCTTCTCAAGGGCCAATGCTGGATGATGGTATAACTCCCTGGAAGAGGAGAGGACCCAGCAGAATTCTGTCTTGCAGCCAACCAGGAAAGGAAAACCAGTCCCCTGGGAGAGAAAGAGATGGAGGTCTGGTCTTTCATCAGGGTTTCTTACCCTGGGAATTTTCTTACCAAAGGAATTTGCTGTTCTGTGAGGTGAACAGACGGTAAGACCCTCGGCTTCAAAAATGTTTCAAAATCACTCCAATCCCAGATGTATGGTACCTACCCTGCCCCATTTCCCCTGCACTCCCCCCCAATCCTGCCAACTGTCTTTTTCCATCATGCCCTGTGTATGGGGAGGTGTCAGGATGCTTCCCAAGTAATTTCTATTAAGGAAAAAGGAAGGGGGCCAGAAACCTCTTACCCTGCCTTGTTGGTTACAAATTTCGTTCCACTTCACAGGGCTTTCTCAAGAACTTCTAGTGGATGATTCCATTTGTGGTGGATACCATTTGTGGATTCTCTAGCATGTAGACTGATAGTCAAGATTATATATACTGTTGATTCTATTATTTTAAGCAGTTTCCCTTTTATTAACAGATTACATTCTACGGAACTTTTGTTAGAATAAATGAACCAATGTTGATACATTATTAATTGAAGTCCATGCTTTACTCGGATTTCTTTAGCTTTTATCGGATGTCCTTTTTCTGTTCCAGGATTCCCTCCAGGATACTACATTACATTTAGTCATCATGTCCCCTCAGGCTCCTCTTGCTGAGGCAGTTTCTCTGACTTTCCTTGTTTTTAGAATCTTGACGGTTTCGAGGACTGGGTCAGGTACTTTGTGAAATGCCCCTCTATTGGGATTTTTCTGATATTTTTCACATGCTTAGACTGCAGTTGTGTGTTTTTAGGGAGGAAGATGACAGAGGCAAAGTACCGTTTCATCATATTATAGCAAGGGTGCCCGCTGCCAGCCTGACTTAGCAGTGTTGGTATCAACACTGATCATCTGAGATAATGTTTGTCCCATTTCTCCACTGTGAAGTTACTCTTTCCCCCTCTCTTTCTACACTGTCCACTTTGGAGCTATCAGAGCACACACTTCAGGACAGAAAAGCTGTGCTCTCCATTCTGTTTTCTTTCTTTTTTTTTAAGATTTTATTTATTTATTTATTTGAGAGAGAGAGAGAAAAACAGCATGAAAGGGGAGAGGGTCAGAGGGAGAAGCAGACTCCCAGCTGAGCCGGGAGCCTGATGTGGGACTCGATCCCAGGACTCCAGGATCATGACCTGAGCCAAACGCAGTCGCTTAACCAACCGAGCCACCCAGGCGCCCTATGCTCTCCATTCTTGAGGGCAGAGTTTCTACTGATTTTTAAACTATTTGTTATTTCCTCAGTGGTTGTTCTAGGGCTTAGACAGTATCTCTTAATTTGTCATAATATCCTTCAGATTAATCTTAATTCCAAGATATATAGAACATCTGCCCCACCCCTCACTTTATGCTATTGTTGTCATGTCTCTATATATTAAAACCCAACAATACAGTGTTATAATTGTTGCTTTACATAATTTTACATCTTTTGAAGAAACCAAGAGAAGACAAGACACACACACTTACTTAATACTTCCTTACTTCCCCATAACTTTTCTTCTCCTCTCCTTTGTATTGTAATATTATATCTCTTTATGTTACAGACCCAGCAACTCAATTTTTGAAAGCATATTTATGGAGATATAGTTTGTATATCATACAATTCACGCATTCAAAGCATAGCATGCAAGGGTTTCAGTGAAAGCACAGACACGGGTCACCATCCCCTGGGAAACACGTTCTATAGCCCTTAGCCATCCTGCCCTCTAACCTCCCAGTGTCTGCCTTCCTTGCTAGTATTCACAGCAGTGGTTTGTCCTGTGACCTCAATTCTTTGCAAGATCCAAGAAGAGTTGTTGGTTTCCAGTTTGTTCAGATTGTTTTTCTTGTTTTAAAAAATGGGATTGATAACTCCAAGACTATTCCGTGTCAGACAAGAAATCAGAAGGCTGCTCAGTTAATTATTCTTCATTCTTTTTCTGTTCTCAGAATGTATACTAACAATCTAGCTTCAAATTTACTGATTCTTCTGCCAACTTAAATCTACTGTTGAGCCCCTATAGTGACTCGTCATTTCAGGTACTGTTACCTCTCAATGCCAGAATTTCCACTTGGCTCTTTCAAATAATGTTTACCTACTGATAGTCTCTATTTGATGAGTTACTGTCATAAACGTAATTTCCTTTAGCTTTTTGAAACTATAATAGCTTTTTTGGAGTCTTTGCCATATGAGTTCATAATTTGGGCCTCCTCAAAGTAGTTTCTATTGCCACTACTTTTCCTGTATTGAAGGTGATAATACTCTGTTTCTCTGCATCTCTCATAGTTTTTGAGATAATACAGTGTTGCAACTTTGGATTATGATACATCCCTCTCAGGGATCATTGATGTTGCTCTGTTTTGTTAATTTTATTAGTTGGCTTCATGGCTTCCCTGGACTAATTTCCGTGGAGTCTGTTTTCCCCAACAGTGTGTAGCCTCTGATGTCAGTGCTCAGTTTCCCCATGTGCTTCCCAGGAGTCACCCAGGCTCAAAAAAGCGTAATGTTTAGCCAGTGATCGGTGAGAGGCTGTGCTTAGGCCCCTTGAGCCAGTAAGGCTTCCACTCCTTGTTCATGGATCTGTGTATGACTTGGGAATTCCTTCAAGCCTGCCCCATGTCTAAGAGTGACTAGGGCCTTTCAAGTGCCTGCTCCGGTTGGTCCTCGATATGTGTGTGATACCTAGACATGTGCACAGCTTTCCAGATGGATTATTATAACTACAATCTTACAGGGCACTTTTTAGCTATTTCCCTGATTCTTTCTGTTAAACTTCTGGATGGCCTGCTGTTTCATTTGTTGTTGTTTTATAGAACTATTAGAATTATAATCGCTTACAACTAAGGTCTCTAAGTTCACCAATGCCTAAGTCATGCGTTCCCCCCACTGTGTAGCAAATAAAGGCAGCTCCTTCCATGGAGCTGTGGAGCTCCAGCCCTCCCTTCCTCTTCTCCCTCTGGACAGGTGTCTCATTTACTGCATCAGATCAATAGAGGAGGTGGAAGGGGCAGCCTATTTTTCCTGGAGTGACACATCTATCCTACAAGTGGAGTTGAAGAAACTTCTTGGCTTCTCCTCTTGCATAGAAACTCCACCCTACAAGTGGGATTTTGGAGGAGAAATGGGAGCCCAAGGTCTTTTTGAGTCACTCCTTCCAGGATAGAACCTCTGCTCTATAAGTGGGACCTGGGAGAATGATAGCTTGCTGTCCTTTCATCCTGCCCCCTAGCATGAAACATCTGCCCTACAAACTAGAGTATGGGGGGTGGGGTGGGATCAGGGCCCCAGGACTCTTGGCCTTCCTTGCCTTGGGTAAAGCCTCTGCTGTATAAGGCAGGAGCTAGGTTGGGCATGGAAGCCCCAGTCTTCTCAGCTGCAGCTGACTAAAATTGAGCTTCTTAATATGCAGCCAGAGTGGCAGATGAGGCTCTCCTTTGAGGATGACAGGCTTGAATGAGATTTTAGCCCCTTAATAGGATCTTTTTTTTCTGAGTCCCTTTATTTCACTGAAAAGGTTTATCAGGTTGTTGATACTTAAAGTCTTTTAGGGGCGCTTGGTTGGCTCAGTCAGTTGAGTGCCCAACTGTTGATCTCAGCTCAGGTCTTGATTTCGGGGTTGTAAGTTCAAGCCCCATGTTGGGCTCCACGCTGCGCGTGGGGCCTATTTAAAGAAAATAAAGTCTTTTAAATCATTCTCTTGTCATTTGAAATCTAGAATAGTTGGTTTTTCTTTAACTCTGTAAGACTCCAAATGTCTGGACTCTATTTGCTTTCATTTTGGCTGGTCAATCATTAATTTTGCCCAAGTTTATCTCTTTCTTGTAATAGTTTGCCAAAGACAGCTAAGATCAATCAGCAAATATTGCCAATATTCTGTTTTCTAGTATCTTCTAGAGGTGTCACACAGTCGGCTTATGTAGAGGAGACAATTTTACCATATGTTTTGCCAGTTTGTCACCATCTTTCCAGGCTCTAACATCGGTTTTCTCACTGCCCCAGGATTTGGCGAATGTTACCTCTTTTAGTTTTTGTTACATTAGCAGTACACTTCTAGGAGCAACCTCTAAACAAAGTAGCTTAATACAGGAAAGATGCAGGGCAGTGATTCCAGCCCTATACCCTTGTGAGAATGAAACAGAATGATGCATGCAACCCCCACAGGCCAATCTCCCTACATCAAAGCACTGATCACAGTGAACTGTTTCCTTAACTGTTTAATTACAATGGGAACTCCAATTATACCCTTGGAAAATACAAAAATAGCTAACATCTTATGAGGACCATACATATATTATATTGTATAATCCTGGCAATAACCCAAGAAATCATAGCACGATTCTAATTCACAGAAGAGAACATGAGGCTCAAAGCAAATCCAGAATCTAGATCTAGCTGGCTCCAGAACGAGACCTCTCACACCAACTCTTGTATGTTTCCTGTCTGTATTCCTAAATCTCTATTAAAACTCACTTCCGAAGAATGAAGTTCCATCTTGAATTAATAAATAAGGAACAAGTTGATTTCTAATGCCGTAGATAGTCATATGTAAATTTGCAGGATATCTCCGCAAATTTTATTTTAAAAAATGAAGGATTCTCTGGGGTGCCTGGGTGGCTCAGCTGGTTAAGCATCTGCCTTCGGCTCAGGTCATGATCTCAGGGTCCTGGGATCAAGCCCCATGTCGTGCTCCCTGCTCAGCGGGAAGCCTGCTTCTCCCTCTCCCTCTGCTGCTCCCCCTGTTGTGCGCTCTCTCTCTGCCAAATAAATAAAATCTTAAAAATATAAAATGAAAATGAACGATTCTCTCTGAAAGAAGTCCCTACATTTCTGAATTGTAAAATCCTTATTAAAGTATTTCTTACTATTCTATCACAAGGTGAATTAGGAAATGCCAAATAGACGGAAATGGTGCACAGTAAAATGAACCCCCAAACATATTGTTGGGTTATGGAGTACTTATAATTTGTATCTTCAGCTTTATGAAGTAATCCAGTGAAAAAGAGCAGTAGTGTATGTATTAGGGCTAGAGCTTGGGCTAGGGCTGCCATAACAAAATGTCATAAACTGGGTAGCTTAAGAAACAGAAATTTATTTTCTCACACTTCTGGAGGCTGGGAGTCCAAGATCAAGGTGCCAGCACAGTTGGTTTCCTCTGAGGCTACCCTCCTGCTGCCTCTTCACAGGGTCTTTCCTCTGTCACCTGCATCCCTAGTGTCCTAATCTCCTCTTCTTATAAGGACACCAGTCAGATTGGAGTAGGGGCCAGCCTAATGGCCTCATTTTAACTTCATTGTGCTTTAGAGGCCCTATCTCCAAATACAGTCACACTCTAAGGTACTGGGCATTAGGGCTTTAATTAGTGAAGACAATAACAGTATGTAAGAAGAGGGTAATTTAGTCACCAAAAACAATTATTTAAATCATAGTGAATGTCGTAAGAAGCCATGGCTATTTTCTTTCGCTCATTCTCATATATCTATGTCGTATGTACATATGAACAACAACAACACCTTTTCATATTCTTTCATTGATCAAAATGAGCCGAAGTCATATATATGTGTGTATACATACACACACACATGTACTAGCAATGAACAGGAAAAAAAGTTAATTTTACACTTTAGAATCTTTTTAATTGAAGTATAGTTGACATATAATATTAGTTTTAAATTCTTCTTGAATGATATATTTTCTGTTAAATAGAAGAAAAATAGTATTATTCAATGTGGAAGATCTTGGTAGATGGCATTGTACATGTAATACTTATTTTATATTCATATTTATGTTAACTTCAAATATACAATTCCAATACATGATTTATGTTATGTGGCGTATAACATATTATAATACAACCAGGACTATAATGCTTTCATACTTTGCAAATTGTCCACATATGCTTTTCTAATTTTGTTCTGACTAGTCCACTTACTAATATTCCAAAGGTCTTTGTAGGCCATAGTGAGCGTTTATCCTTCAACGAGGGGTACTTTCTGTAATATCTTTGAGAAATGCTTTGGCATCACATATGGAATACGATTTCTACAAAAACATAGCTACCTACTTTAAAAATATGTTGAATAGGCTTGACTTCTTGATACATACTAAGATTTGATTTCTACTGAGGCTTTTATTTGTAGATATTCCCGTATTAGTTTCTTTTAAGGAATTTTTTCTTGATGAGTCCTTTTATGTCGACAGAAGGCTGAGCTATGTCTGAAGGCTTTTCCACATTGATTGCATTTGTAGGGCTTTTCTCCTGTGTGAGTTCTGTGATGTATAATGAGGTCAGACTTCTCAGAAAAGGCTTTTTTACACTCATTACATTCATAAGGTTTCTCCCCAGTATGGATTTTCTGATGTCTCATAAGGCATGACACTTCACTGAAAGCTTTCTCACACCTGGTACACACATAAGGTTTCTCTCCTGTGTGTATTCTCTGATGTACAAAGAGGTGTGACTTCATGCTGAAGGCTCTCCCACATTCATCGCACCCATAGGGTTTCTCTCCAGTATGAGTTCTCTGATGAATGTTGAGGTGTGATTTTTGGAAAAAGGCTTTCCCACACTCACCACATTTATAGGGTTTCTCCCCAGTGTGGATTCTCTGATGTTCGATGAGGTGTGACTTATGGGCGAAAGATTTTCTACATTCAGTACACTCGTAAGGTTTCTCTTGAGTATGGATCCTCAGATGGATAACAAGGTTGGACTTCTTGCTGAAGGCCTTTCCACACTCCGTACACACAAAGGGCTTTTCTCCTGTATGAGTTCTCTTATGTATAATGAGGTCTGACTTCTGGAAGAAGGCTTTCCCACATTCGCTACATTCATTCTTTCTTCTGTTACCACTAAATGAGCCTAAATAATTCAAACTCCTACCATAGGAGGCATATTTTTGGAGTCTTTGTTTGGAAGAAACAAAGTCTGTGCTCAGAGGAAATATATTTCTAAGTGCATGACATTTGTTGCCCTTTTCCCCAGTCACAGTTTCCTGGTCAATGAATGCAACATGTTTCAAAAATGTTTCTTGGTTCTCTTGGTGTCTTTCCAAGGGGTTATCAAGTTGCCAGACTTCTTCTATAAGGAAGCATAATTAGCTCTGTTTGTGAATATTTCTGCTAATGTATTATGGTTCATAACTTTTCACCCTATTGTGAGATTGAATCTTTACTTTAAGGCCTAGTATCCCTAATGAACAGAAATACCAAGGCTACATGGAATCTATACCCCTGAGCTTTGTAAGAAAACCACAACTTAAAAAAAAATCATATTCGTAGAAACAGAAATAGAGAATATGACAAAGAACACAAATATATCTGGCTGTCTGCAAATAGGACTTTGCAAACTGGGAAGAAAAACAAAAATAATTACAAGGTGCAATAAAAAGGAACAAAGGAGGACAGCTGTTATGGGGTCAATAGGAAGAGCCCATCTAGAGAATTACAATGACTGGCTGAAATGGTGATCAGAGGAAATAAAGGAGAGATTGGATGAGGAACAGAGAGATCTGAACTGGTGTCTCATCGACTCATTGTTGGATTGCTCTAGTTTAATCCTCACTCGTCTCTCTGCTTCCAATGTCTCTGAGCTCGTCTAGTCATCCATCAGCATGAAACGGACTTGACAAAGCCATCGAGCCCACTTGCAAGCAGTAGCCAGTGCCTCAGAAAGCCGTAACAGTAATTCGTTCTTATATGGGTGTGAAGGCCCAGGAACCCATGTGTCCAGTAAGAGAGAAATAAGCCACAGAATAAGCCAAATACAAATGCCTCAGGGTTAGATTAACTACTGAATTCTCACTCCTGAGTGTGTCATCTTAGTCTATTAATAGTTCACAGATACTACATTAATCCTGACTTTTAAATACTCTCCCCCCTTTCTTCTCTACCTAGCACATATAGAAGAGGAATCACAGTTAAGAAAACAGGTACTAAGTCCAGATTACCAGGGTTTCAATCCTACCTCCATCACTAATTAGACATGTGGCAGAGGTCAAGTTCCTTGATCTCTTTGGGCCTCAACTTCCCTTTCTATAAAAAAAGGGATAATAATAGCACCTACCTTGTAGTGTTGTCATGAGAATTAAATGAGTCAATAGACGTAAAGTACTCAGAATACTGCCTCACACATAATACGTTTTGTCAGTTAGATACCATTATTACACGTATTATTACTGACAACTATGTGCTTGCCACTTTTGCTTTACATCGTGTTTTCCAAATTTCTGGATTCTATTAATGTGGAGACGCTAAGCAGCAGATTTCTCACTCTGGATCTAAAACCCTATCTGTCTTCATTTTCATCTATTTTATAAACCTCTGACAGTACTTGACTACTGTTAAACTTATGCTACCTACATCCAGAGCAATAAAGTCATTCCCTGGCTCAGAATTCAATAATTCTCCTGAACTTCCTAACCCAGTTCCTGACATATGAGCCATCAGTCTTTAAAGAAAGTGAGTAGATTTCTATTCTTTATCCAACACTGGCTCCCCAGAGGCTAGACTGGACACCTCTCCTAGGAAGATACACACATGGCCAAAAAACACATGAAAATGTGCTCAACATCACTAGTCATTCAGTGCAAATCAAAACCATAAGATACCACTTCATACCCATTAGGATTGCTACTAGAAAAACAAAACAAAACAAAAAATAACAAGCGTCAGTGAGGATGTGGAAAAATTGGAACTTCTGTGCACTGCTGGTGCGAATGTAAAATTGTGTGGTAGCTGTGGGAAACATCACAGCAATTCCTTAAAAATGTAAACACAGAATTACCACATGGTCCAGCAAATTCACTTCTGGGTGTATACCTAAAAGAACTGGAAGCAGGGGCTCAAACAGAAATTTGGACACCAACGTTCTTGGAAGCATCATTCACAGGAGCCCAAAGGTAGAAACAACTCAAATGTTCATTGCAAATAAATGGATAAACAAAATGTGGCATACACATACAAGAGACTATTCTTCAGCCCTAAAATCAATCAAATTCTATCACATGCCACAACGTGGATGAACTTCGAAGATATACTAAGTAAAATAAATCAGACATAAAAGGACAAATACTGTTTGATTCCATTTATATGAGGTATCCAGAATGGTAAGATTCTGAGCAAAGAAAGTAAAGTAGTGGTTAGCAGTAGCTAGCAGGGGAGGTAGGGCGGGGAGGTATAGTTTAACGGGTACAGAGTCTCGGCTGGTGGTGATGAAAGAGTTCTGCAGATGGATGGTGGGGATGGTGCACATCAACGTGAATGTACTTAATGCCGCTGAACCATACACTTAAAAATAGTAAATTCTATGGTATGTATATTTTGCAAAAATTTAAAAAAGGCAAAAAAACTTCTCAAAGTCTTAAATGAAGTTGGTTAAGAATCACAGGCAGAATATACCTGGAAGGGAAAATGTCACTCTCTAATAGCCATGCAGAGAAGAGCATTAATGTGGGAAGGTGATATATGGAAATGGCATTCAGGTAAATAAGGAACTTATGTCAACCATCCCAGTTGTTTTCAAAGGGCCAAAGGCTTTAAGAAGAGAGCCCTGAAGCATATTTTTCAAAGATGCCAACCCTTACTGATCAACTGTGATCTTTTAAAAAATTTTCTTTTAAATTCCAGTAAACATATAGTGTTACATTAGTTTCAGGTATGCAATATAGTGATACAACAGTTCCGTATATTTCTCAGGGCTCAGGACAAGTATACTCTTAATCCCCTTCACCTATTTCAGCCATCCTCCCACTATCTCTGCTCTGGTAACCATCAGATCAACTGTGATCTTAATTTCATTCACTTCCATCCACAGAGTCCTTTACCTAACTCACCTGCATAGTTCCAATTTGGGATTTCTCTCTCCACCATCCATGGTTCTTCACCTTGTTCCAACTTGTGGATCACAGATGGCTTTGTGGTTTGATATCCTGTCAATGGGAAATGATAGAGGATTTGGACCTAGCTACCTGGGCTTCAGGTCCTTTGAACTCTGAACTTCATCAGGGACTTCCTGATGAAGGTGCCCATTTGTACCTGAAAAAGAGAGGTCTTTAAACAAACTTGAAGCCAGACCTCCCAAAGACTGTCAATCTTAAATCTACTAAGACCCAGAGCCATACTTGTAAAAGTACTTCAAAGGGCTGATTATTTGGAGCAACTGAGAAAGGTAAGGTAGTTAACTAAGCACATGGCAATCAACACTGGGAAATGGTCCTCACCCACTGAGATGAGGTTGATATAGTTCTCTAGCATCACATCCCTGTATAGATCCCTCTGGGGAAGGTCCAGATACTGCCACTCCTCCTGGGTGAAATCCACAGCCACGTCCTTGAATGATACTGGTCCCTGCAACAACACATTCCTATTCCAACTAAAGTCATCAGTACTGCACAAAATGGAAAAAAAAAAAAAGCATGGCAACTTGTTTAAAGCATGCTCATTATTTGATAATGCTTCTTAAAATTTGGCCCCATTTCATTTTGGGTGATAGTATACTAATTTGGTCTCATTCTGTTTCTCCTGCCCTATGCTTTGATGCCCATTTGTCTAGTTTTATGTTTCATTTTGTGGGTAACACAAAAATCATATGTGAAACATTTTACACTGAATATTCATTATTCATTAGGCCATTCTTTCATTGTCATTAAGCAAATATTTACTGAACACCCCATACACATCCAGAACTGATTGTCCTAGATGCAAAGGACCAAATATCAGAATCCGATCCAATTTGCCAAGGCACAGAAAAGATGCTCACTTGGTATCAAGTTATACAAAGAGAAGGCGGCACTGTTCAAAATGCTCTTGATAAGTTTTTTTTAACAAAGTATTTTAATTGTCAATGTTTAAATTAACAATGTACTAAATATCTGTTTTGCTATTTTTCATTTTCCTATACTTGTATGACCAACAGTAAGAGGATTTAATGTTTTAACCAACATTTTTAAAGGTCACAGAACAACTATAACCAATATAAAAAATCCCATTGATTATTAAGATTTCTTTGCATGATTTTAGCTCACATGGTCATTTTTACAGTCCTCCACTACTGTTCCTATATAATGAACGGAACAAACTAACTCACCTGGGACTTGGTCATTTTCTGCAGCCTTTGGGTGAAGACAGAGATCTATGAACACAGAGGTAGGGGGAGAGATGGAGCCATGAGAGACCAGGTATGACTTGAAGATCCCAGAATCCCTGGTGTGACAAAGCCATCCACAGCTGCCTCAACAGTTCAGTAGGGGAAGCCACTCTGTGAGAGAATGTCTCCTGGGCCCTCCAGAACTCATTGTGAGAAAAACCACAGATTTGCACTAAGATTTAGCTGCAAGACCATCTGTTGCAGCACTTCTTAACATACTGAAAAATTGGAACAAATTAAGGAACTGGTAAAACAAACAGATATATACTCCAAAGATAAAGTAATTTACAGTCATCAAAAATGATGTTGCCAAATGTTTATCAATATGTAATGGCAGTTGGTGCACATCCTTCTCTGACCATTTAGTCATGCCTTCTGTGGATTCTAACCAGGGCTGTAGGAACAGACAGGTTGGAGTCTGAAGGTAGAATGTACCAGCAACAGGTTCTCAGTGGGACCCAGGAACTGCGGAAGAGACACCAACAGACCCTGGACATATAATGTCCACATCGTGAGATTCGTGCCACGGTCTTTCTGGAATCTTTCCCGGGGAGCTGAGTTGCCGATCCCTGTGTTTTAAGCTAAGGGGGAGGAGAGGTCAGTTAAATGCTATGTTTTAGGTTGGGAGACATATAAAGAGTAGGAGATTTGGAGGAAAATATTTGGGCTTGAATTTACCTCTGGCTGTTTGACTTTGGGCAAGTCAGTCAACCTCACCTCTCCAGCCTCAGTAAAATTAGAAATCATATCTGTGTTATATCAGAGATTAAGGTAAGAAGCATATTTTGATTAAGGTAACAAACATATTTTACAGAACCTAATGTTAATATGTTAATGTGTGTGTGTGTCCATGCTGGCTGTTTCCTCTACCCAGCACACTCTTCTATTTCTTTCTTTCTTTTTTTTGAAGATTTATTTATTAGAGAGATAGACCGGGGGGGGGGCGGGGAGGAAGGGTCAGAGGAAGATGAAGAGAATCTCGAGCAGACCCCCAGCTGAGCATGGAGCCAGACACAGGACTCCATCTCATGACCCTGAGATCATGACCGGAGCAGAAACCAAGAGTCAGATGCTTAACCAGATTGAGTTACCCAGGCATCCCCACTCTTCTACTTCTTCAACTCTTTACTCAAAAATCACCAAGGAGGCCTCCACTGTCTACCTAAGTTAAATTTAATCCCCCCCATTTCCCTTACCCTGATCTACTTTTTCTTTGTGTATAAATTCTAATATATAATTTACTATCTAATATACTATATGATTATGCTTATTGTTAACTGACTGTCTCTACTTACTAAAACTAAGATTTCATAAAGGCAGGGAGCTTGATTCAGTACTGTATATTCAGTACTGTATCCCCAGCACTAGAAACAGTGTCCGGTTCATGGATGCCCAATAAATAGTCTTTTAAAAAAATACAGTTATATGTAGTAAATTTCATAAAACAATCCTTATCACAAGGGAATACACATGTGCTATTTTACAGTATTTTATCTATTTTTTTTAAGTGCCTGCTTACTGTAGGATTCCATTCATATGATGTTCTACAAAGGCAAAACTAACCTATAGAGATAGAAATTGGAAACTGGTTGGTTCTTAAACAGGTGGGGGGAGGAGTTGACTAAAATGGAGCAGAACTTTCTGGGGGATTAAAATGTTTGATGGGGGTGGTAGTTACATGTGTGCATCAACAAATTTTACACTTTTGTTCTCTGTAAATTATATGCAAATCATTCTGTGTAAGTTATATCCGACCTAAAAGTACTGGCAAATAACAATACTAGTCTTGGCTCATTAAACAGATTTCACCACCCATACTCACTACTGGGTTGCAGCCGATGGTTTGAAAAGCTGACTTAGAGAGTTGCTGTAAGGGTTAAAGGTTAGATGCCTTTGAAAAAGCAGGTAGCACTCCACCTGGAACATTTCAGACCTTCAGTAAAGCTTGGTTCTCTTTCCACACCCCGGAGGGCGCTCCTCACCTGGGTGTCCACCACTTGGCGCGCACTGGCACCCCCCTGGATGCGCCGGATGCGCTCCGGGCACGACACCTGAAGCGCGACACCAGCAAGAACGCAGTCCCGGGACCCCGCCCACTCCGGGCTCACGGACCCAGGTTGAGGAGGGTAGCTTTTGACACATCCCGATCCACGCCTACTCCAAAGTCCTGCTGAATCCTATTGTTCTTCCCCCACCTCCCCGAGCCCGCGCCCACTGCCTCGGCGCACCTCCAGCCCAGACGAAGACCAAGCGGGTGCGGTGCTTAGAGCCTCCGGACTCGCCCCCGCCCCCGGGGCACTGCGGTGAGGACAGGAAGGGCACACATGCGCAGAAGAGGGCGCCGCGCGCGCGGGGCTCGCAGGAGCCCGTTGCCTTCGACTGCAAAATACATCTCCCAGAATGCCTGCGCTGCGACGCTGCACATGCGCAGCGAGAGGCCGGGAGCGAGTAGGGCGCTCGGGGGCTTTGCACCTGATCCCAGCACTGCGCCTCTGGTCCCCCCACCCCCGGGTTTCCAAGCCCTTCCTCCAAAAAGACCCATATGGAAGGTCTAACGCGCGCGCACGGAGCCACGAGCCTAGCGATAGAGGCAAGACCTACAATGTTTCGAGAATTCTACCAGGCCTGAGCACGTTTCACTAAAGGTTTGAGGACTTAACTCTGGAATTTCAGTTTGAGCCCAAAGCCTTTCGGATTTTTGTGTTCAGCCTTTCTGCTTCTCTGAATGGACCTGTGAGTATAACGTTTTGAGCAAAGGGGAAATACGTCTCAGAGATTTCACTAGAATGCCTGTAAATCAAAGCTAACAATGGCATATTTTCTAAGAACACACAAATTAATTTCGATTACACAAATATGAAGACCAGTAGCTAACTCGTCTGAGTAATAGTAAAAAAAAAAAACTTGGAAAAAAACCTAGGGACAGTTTTCCTCCACAGGGCAGTTCGATGTTATGAAGACACTGTTGCTCCAGATTGATCTTGTGCAACATTAATCAGTGTCCTGGTAGGTGTCCATAGATATTTTTTTGGATGATCACCTTCCACGTTGTGCCAGTTTCCATATGGCTTAAAAGTTATAACAAAAAGAAATACCTATAAAGCATTTACTTGGAGTAAAGAATATGGCTGGCAAAATAAAGATTTTTGTCCTTGGTTACCGAAGGGTAGCCTCTAGATTCTTGGAATTTCCCCAGTAATATCCCTGGTGGGCCCTGATAATTCATCCTACCTAGATGATTCATGGTGGGTCCCTGGATAGTTGACACCAAGAAGATGACTCAGGGTAGGAGCTGGCCACTCCACAAAGACCATGTGACTAGAGAGTTGGGGTTTTGAATCACAAGATACATTTGTATACGTGCTGCCTAAGGGAGCATCACAAGATACATTTGGAGGACTTCTTGACCTCTGGGGAGTGAAGCAGGGTTGGAGATTGAGTTCAGCTTGAAGGCCTGTGATTCAGTCATTAGTGCCTAGATAATGAGACCTCAATAAAAACTCTGGACATCTAGCTCAAGTGAACTTTCCTGGTTGGCAATATTATATGTATTGTCATACATTGATGTGCTTGGAGGGTATGACATCCTGACTCAACACAGCGAGAACAACAGAAGTTTCACTTTTGTAACCCTTTCAGATCTTACACTATGAGTCTCTCCCTTTGGCTAGTTCTCATTTATATCCTAATGCTATAATAAATCTGTAATCATAAGTATAGTGCTTTCCTGAGTTCTGTGAGTCACTGAAGTGAATTATCAAAGTATCAGAGGGGGTACTGGAAACTCCTGGATTTTTGGCCCACTAGCCAGAGTAGCCCAGAGTGGGGCCCTGAGAACTCCTGGGCTTCTGGCTGGTGACCGAAGTGAGGGCAGTCTTATGAAGACCTGTGAAGTTTGGCCCAATTCCAGCTGGTTGGTGTCAGAAATCACTGAGAATATGTATTTTGCATGATTCTAGGTACTTTAAATGTATTAACTGATTTAATACTTCCTAACAACTCTATGAAGCAGATTCTATTAACCTCATTTTAGGCATGAAGGAATTGAGACCTACAGATTAATCTACTTATTGGGGGACACACAGCTAGTTAGTGGGAGAGCAAGGCAGAATGGCTGTAGACCATGGGTTGTAAATTGCCTCTCTCAGGCCACATTGGGCAGCTGCCTGTTTTTGCACTCTGTGACCACAGAATGATTTTTTTACATTTGTAAATGACTGGAAAAAAATTAAAAGAATAGAGTTGTGTTTGGGTCTTAGTTTATAAAAAGTGACTGCATGATGACACAGAGAGGTCAGTGTCATTGAAAGAAAAGTTTAATATTACTCAAAGTTGCCCTAGAAATGGGAGGCAGAGTCAAAGTTTCTGGGTCCCAATTCCACTGAGAGGGTTCCCCACACCAACAATAAGCAATTCTGTGACATCAGCCAGGAGTCCTACAGTTTAACTCAATTCTGCCACATCTCCTGGGAGATAGCATCTGATCCCACAGATTAAGGGTTCAGTCCTACAAGACTGACACCCCTCTCCACTTCACACCCCTCGCCTAGCCACAAGCCCAGGTTATTATATGCTTCTGACCCACCAGCTACAGAATGGAGGTTCCCAGGCTTCCTCCTTAAACTACAGATGCCAGTCACAAGTCTAGTTGTTACTTGTAGTTCTGACTGGCTATAAATTAGAGATTCCCACCACCCTTTCCTTGGGTTCAATTAATTTGGTAGAACCACTCATAGAACTCAAACATTTTACTTACTAGATTACTGATTTATTATAAAAATATATGACTCAGGAACAGCTAAATGGAAGACATATGGTGGGCAGGTATGGAGAAGGGGTGTGGAGCTTCCATACTCTCTGAACAAGTCACTCTCTCCACATCCCCACATGTTCACCAACCTGGAAGCTCTTCAAAACCTGTCCTTTTGGGGTTATATGGAAGCTTCATTACATAAGTGTGATTGATTAAGTCACTGACCATTGGTTATTGATTCAACTTCCAGCCCCTATCCCATCCCTAAAGATCAGGGGGTGGGACTGAAAATTTCACCCCTGTATTCTTGGTTGGTTGCCCTGGCAACCAGCCACCATCTTTAGGTGCTTTCCACAAGTCACATCAGTAATGTAAACCCAGTTGTGGTGGAAAAGGGCTATTACGAATAATAAGACACCCATTTCACCTTTATGGCTCTAAAGCAATTTCAGAAACAGGACAGGAGACCAATAGGATGGCAAAAGATGCTCCTTATCACTCTGGAAATTCCAAGGCTTTTGGAAGCTGTGAGCCAGGAACCATTGACAATACCATATATATATGAGAAATATATTTTGGTCATCTGAGTGACCAAATACGTTTTTCTTATAGATTATAGTATCACACAGGGCCACAGAGAGAAGCACCAGTGTTAGGAGGCCTTTTTTTTTTTTCTTTTTAAGATATGAGTGCTTTTTTTTAAAATTCTAGTATAGTTAGCATACAGTGTTATATTAGTTTCAGGTGTACAGTGTGGTGATTCAACGCTTCATACATCACCAAGTGCTCATCACTACAAATGCACTACAGACCATAGCTTTTACTAGCATTTTCATGGGAAAGGATAGGCAGAGCAGGGTAAACAGTTTAGGATTGGCTGGTTTGAGTAATTCTGCTGGGCTTTGGGACATTGGGATTGTCCTTAATTTTCTATTACCTGGCCCTGGATTGATTTAGGGCAGGGGAATATTAGCTTGGTGTGTGACTGTTAGATAAAGGAGGTGGTTAGGAGTATGGACTTGGGATTGGCTGGTTTACCTATTAGAGGAGTGCTGTCAGGCAAGTTATCACAATAGGAATTATTATTTTTTTAAAGATTTTATTTATTTATTTGACAGAGAGAGCAAGAGCAGGAACACAAGCAGGGGGAGTGGGAGAGGGAGAAGCAGACTTCCTGCCGAGCAGGGAGCCCTATGTGGGAGTCGATCCCAGGACCCTGGGATCATGACCTGAACCGAAGGCAGATGCTTAACGACTGAGCCACCCAGGCACCCTCACAATAGGAATTAACTAGTTCTGGGAGTTTCCCCAGCCAGCAAAGACCCCCACCCCAGGAGATCAAACATCATAACACAGAGAAAATTAAAAATATGGTTAATATAAAATAGTATCTCAAGATACATGAACATTATGTGAAATTCTAATTTTAGTGTATATAAACTTTATATTATTGGAACACAGCAACATTTATTTATTATTGTCTGTGCCTGCTTTTATTCTACGACACTAGAGTTGACTTATGAGAGAAACCATGTGGCCTGCAAAACCTAAATTCTTCACTATTCGGCCTTACTAAAAAAAATTTGTCAACCTCTGCTCTGTAGTAAATGCCCTTAATCTGTATGAAATACTGCATAAAAATGAAAATGTAAAATTATAAACGTTTTAAAAATAAAAGGCTATATGTACTGAATCTTTGGGTGCAGAGACTTTAACATGCTACTATTATAAGGAAAAATAGATTCAATTATGGAAAATATTAAAACTTTCTATGGTAAAAAACAATTATAAAGGTACTTCCACTTCTAGGCAGATGGAGTAGATACAGTTTTCCCTACTCTCTCTGCTAAGGAAGAGCTCAGAATTCTATACATCTATACATCATTGTTTTCTGGCTTTCATAGTTTCTATTGAAAAGTCAGTTAAAAATCTTAGTCTTTAAAGGGAATATGTTTTCCTCTGACTACTTTTAAGATTTTCAGCTTTTTTCTTTTTTTTTAATACTTTTAAAAAAAGATTTTATTTATTTATTTGACAGAGAGAGGCACAGCCAGAGAGGGAACACAAGCAGGGGGAGTGGGAGAGGGAGAAGCAGGCTTCCCGCGGAGTAGGGAGCCCAATTCGGGTCTCCATCCCAGGACCCCGGGATCATGACCTGAGCCGAAGGCAGACGCTTAACGACTGAGCCACCCAGGCGCCCCTCAGCTTTTTTCTTTTTTAAAGAACATCTTTATTGAGATATAATTCACCCATTTAAAGTGTATAATATAGTGGCTTTTAGTATAGTCACTGATACGCACAACCATTGCCACACTCAATTTTAAAACATTGTTAGCACTTCAAAAAGAAACCCTGTACCCTTTAGCTATTATTCCACTATTCACCATATCCTGTGCCCCAAGCAATCACTAGTCTACTTTCAT